TATGACCAGGTCAAGGGTGGGTCTATTATAAAGACCTTTGACTCCAGGTGCTTGCATATTGACCCCTTGTGAGAAAAAGGGCATGTGTATGCGATCAAATGCACTGACGTCACTTGCAGTCAGAGCAAGTTCAGAAGCTTGCTTGGATGAAGGGAGGTGGGAAGCCGTGACCGTGAAGACAAGCGCAGGGCCCTGCACATCCAACGCTGTGCACTGGCTAGCTCCACCAGAAGTGACCAGTGGCACCATCATACCGTGTCTGCTGTACAAATAACATTTTATTGTGCTCCTCTCTACCGCAGTAAAATCAATTCAAGATTAAATATTAACTAATTCACAGTGGACAAGGTTATGAGTTCTCCATCTTGAAAGGGCACCATAATGTTGCCTAGGAGAAGGATCGAGTGAACAGTGTTTACACGGCAGTTCCCTGCTTCATCTGTATCTGTTTCCAGAAGCCATAAAATAAACATGCTCCCAGCAGCACAGAACTGCTGCTGGGCCTGGACACACAGCTCCTGCTTTGGGGTGCTGGTGGAGCCACGGCTGACCTTCCACAGTGTCTTGTTATAATTTATCATGAAACTTTTGATGAGGGTGCCTCCCAGAACTCCTTATAGTTTTATATGAATTTCTAGAGTAATACTAAACGGGTTTGAGTTGCTTCAGAATAGCTATGAAAATTGCTGTCTTACACATTGTTTGCCAGAAGAAAGGGAGGCAGAGACTATGCAGTTGCTACGATGGATGATGTAACTGAGTTTCTTACGTCATGTCCTTTAATATGTCATCAGAATTCTTTTTTTTTTTTGTAAGGACGGGGTATTATTGTAAATGTGGGTGGTCTCTGTTGCAGTTGTTCAACTGCGGGACTGGAACAAAAAAGCCACTGAGGACAGACAGGAAACACGTGGAATATGGGTGTCCCAGGGGGTGTTTATGAGCACGGTGCTGGCAGTTTCCCTGACTCTGCTCTGAACTGAAGTACAGCGTGAGCCTTGAAAGAGAAGGGGAAGCGGAAGAAGGAAGAATGGGGCAGGGAGGAGAGAGAAGCAGAGACGGGGAAGAGATCCTAAAACAATGTCAGAGGCACACTCTGCTGTGGTCCTGTCTCCTGGAGCCTTTGAAATCTGTTGAATGGGCCACTGGTCTTAATTAGTACCTGATTTCTATCCTCTGAGCAAAATTACACGTTGTTAATTGTATGTATTAACTTTGTTTAATTCAAGAAAACTGAATATTTTCCTCATCCCTGAGCAGAAGGCTTTCCCTTTGTCTTGTTCTTTAGATGTATTTAGTCTCCACTGACTGTGAGCATCTACGGGAACTCTCAAGTAAAATCTCAGAGGCCTTACTCCTTTTATGAGACAGCTCAATATTGGTTTTTCCCTCTCATTCAGTTAGTCCCAAATAAAAATTTAAGGAAAAATTTCTTACCCAGAGAGAGTACATGTGATGTACGTTTTTTATGTAGTTTTGTCTTAATAAGGATGGGTACATTCAGATGAGTTTGTGGTCCTTTTACAAGGTAGAATATTATTTCAAAGACTCCAGCATAGCAAACATGGAAGGAGCTGTGTCATTGAGAATTTGGCATGTACGTCTTGGTTATCTCTTTGGCTTTGTTGTGGTAATACTTCAGTGTGGGTACAATTCCCTTAGAGAAGTAGAGATGCTGCCTCTTCTTTTACCAGTTGGAGACTAAGCCCAAGCAGCTGGATTCTGTGTGCCCAGGTAGCTCTGAGAGAAGCATACAGTGGCACTATTTGTTGCCTACGTATGTACTATTTGGAAGTATAAAGGGGGGGGTGCTTGCTCTATCTTACTAAATTTTGGCATAATACAGATGACTTGTTCTTGAAGTCTTGATTTCAGAGTCTTTCTAATGGGATTTGGGTCAAAACCACACCCGACTCCTTTATTCTCATCTCTGATAACTCGCATGTGAGGAACCACTGACTACATGGCTGAGACTCTGGGGATGCCGGGGAACACAGGGAACTCTTGACGAGACAATAATCTCAAACAAAATAACAAAGCAGGTGGTTTGGGTCATTACTGAGACAAGGGGCCATGCTCATCTCTTTGGAATCAATCCCTGTCTTGAAGACCAACAGGGAATCTCGGCCTCTGAATTCCTCCTGCAGAAGATGTTCTGGAAAACCTTGTCAGCCTAAAGCCTGTTATTCTTTGAACCGAGCTGGTGTCGACAGATGCACCATCGTTTCCAGCTTAACACACGAGAGAACGGAAATTCTCCTCCCTGTGCTGATAAAGTCCAAATTGGCAATTTGTTTAAAAACAGTTCTTTGGATCCAATTCAGTGCCTTCTCAAAGCAATGTGTGGGGTGGCGGGATGGGAGCCACACGGCGTCAAGACTGCATGGCTTTTCTGAGAGGGATTTGATATGTGGCTAATGCTTTCTGAAGCAGACATGTAAGACAAGACCATTATTCCTGCTTTTTCCTATTTGTGTAGATATGAATATAATGGAAATTGGTCCTCTTCTGTGGCTGCAACTGTGAGCCCCAGCAGTAATAAAACAAACTTTTTCTGTGTGTGTGTGTGTGTGTGTGTGTGTGTGTGTTTGGAACACAGGGATTTATAGTCAGAAATCATCTTTGCAAAGAAAATTTTATCTGAGAAGCAAGACTTTTATTTTTGAAGGTGCCTTGTTATATTGACAGGCATTGCATTGTTATTGACATTTTTATCAGATACGAATTAGGAAATTTAATTAGTAAGTGGCCCTAATCTTCCATAAGTGCCTTAATCAATTTACATGTATTCATTTTAAAAATTAACTGGAGAAAACCTTTTTTTCTCTTTCCATAAGCTGAGAGCAGCCATTTGGGGCTGAGCAGTAGGGAGGTTGTGAGTACTCAGCTACTTGGATGTCCAAAGCTGCCTGTCAGGCATAGGCAGATAGAAACTCACTGGACTCGGGCACCAAACTCTGTGTGCTTTAATTCGTTCCTGTGTAGTAAGAAGCGACTTAACATACTAGTTGATGGGTTAACTCGCCTTTGGTTAAGCTGCTGTTCTGAAAGGCTGCGTCTGGTAATACACCATTCTCCCAGTGATGGGGGAGCAGACTGCATCTTCTGTTGGAAGACATCACCAGGGCAGTTAGTAATGTCTGCCTGAGGCCTGTGCCGGCTACCTAGATCGTTTCATACCAGTGATTAAACAGTAGAATGGTTACTTTCTAGTCACCAAATAAATTATTTTTTTAAAAAACAGTGGTGGTTGGGGCTGGAGAATTGGCTCAATAGTTAAGAAAACTAGCTTACTGCTAAGTTTGGTTCTCAGCCACCCATACCAGGTGGCTCACAACTGCTAACTTCAACTCCAGGAGGATCTAATGCCCTTTTCTGGCTCTGTAGACACTGCACACATGGGGCATATCTTTACATAACATGCATGTAAATAAGAATAAAATAACTAAAAAGTAATGGCAGTAGCAGCAAAAGAAAAACAGTACAGATAATATTTCCACTATAGTCTCTGTTCCTCTCTATTCCTACTAGAAAACCCAGCGTGTAGGGCTCTTACTTTGGTACCCAGTGGATGTGCTCTAGGGGAAGTGTACTAACAGTGAGAAGCGCAGTCTAAGAAATTCATTCAATAACAGGATCAGTCACTACCTCTTAATCTTCCTAGACTTCTAGAACAAAATGCAGTATTGGCAGCTTATAAAACAAGGCAAATTTATTCCTTCCAGTTCTGGTGGCTTGTAAATCTTAACTCCAAGCACTAACAGACTTGGCATCCTGTGATGGTTCCCTTCCTGGTTCATAGCCTCTAGCTATGTCCTCATATAATAGGTGGGGCAATGTTGCTGTCTGGGCCTCTCATGCAGAGACACTAATACTTGTCAAGACCTTACCCGTTCCCGCCCCCTAACACATTCATCTTGGTCATTAGGATTTTAACATGAATTTGGGGGCCAAAGGAGACATAAGCATTTAGAACATTACATTATTGTAATCCTGAATATGTTGTTTATTGGGCTTCATATAACTGAGACTGTCCATCCTAGGAGTCAGGTCTCCATGCTTCCTTACTTTAACTGAATACTTCTTCAAATATACCACCGCGTGTACAAATAATGATATTGTGTGTATCTGAGCTTGGTGACATGGGTGTGGAATCCCAACTACTCAAGTAGCTAAGACAGGAAGATTGAAAGATCAAAGCCAGCCTGGGCAACTTAGTAAGAACGATCTTAAAATAAGAAGTGGACCGAGAGATGGAATATGAAATGTGTCTAGACTGTTTCCCTAGCACGTACAAAGCTCTGGATTCATTTCCCAATGTGTGTGTGTGTGCGTGTGTGTGTGTGTCTGTCTGTGTCTCTGTCTGTGTTTATGTCTGTGTGTCTTCCAAAACTGCAGCCACTAAGTATCAGAGAAATAGATACACACTATTATCCCAAAGATCTTCAAGTTTGTTGTTTTCTGTTACTGAAGCAAATCAATTTGTAAGAAAAAAAGGGGCTGGTTTAGGTCCTATTTTCAGAGGTTCTAGTCAATGGGTGATCGGCATGTTGTTGTGGAGTCTGTAGCAATGCAGTATATTGAGGAAGCCATGGATAGTAGTATAAGCCACTCACCTGATGGCAGCCAGAAAACAAGAAAGACAGGATCTCCTGGCAGCATACTGGGCAAGCATGGGCCTTTGAAGGGCACTTAAACATGTCAGAATGAAAACCAAGTCTAAGTAGTGCTTTTCTTTGCTTGAAATCCTGGGACAGTTCCTCTTATGTGTTCTGACTTTCATTGTGGTGTTGAATTCCATTCTCCATGAACTGGTCACTTGTATATCTCTCCCAATAGATGGGAAACCTCTAAAGGACAGGAGTTGCGTCTTACACTTAAATACCCCATGTTACAGCTGTGGAGGTTCTCTGCCTGTGTTGGCTTAGAGATTAAATGGGTGAGTGGAAATACCATGATGTTGCTGAACACTGACATTCTTTTGTTTTTCCTTCCTCGAGGACTTTGGCATTATGTTCCTGCACCACCTTGCAACTATTTTCTTGATAACCTTTTCGTACGTCAACAACATGGCCCGAGTCGGGACCCTGGTTCTCTGTCTTCACGACTCAGCCGATGCTCTGCTAGAGGTAACAAGTTTTTCTTTCATCTTGAAAAAGACAAAATCCAGAACTCATGAATTCCCCAGACCAGCAGTCCTGTAGTGTGGAGGATGATACTTTGAAACTGTTGATTGCTTAGTGGGCTAACCTGGCATGAAACTGTATGTCCAGAGTGAGGTTGTTGGCATCCTCAGCTAGTAGGAAGCTGGAAGCCTTGACCAGTCCACCTTTGGATGGTTGATTCTATATCAGAAAAATAATTTTTTTAGTAGATTTTTTTCTGCTAAGAGTCACACTAATTTATCTGGAAACTGCATATAACCCAGTTTAGTAGTTATAATAAAATTAAGCAGTTTGATTTTTGTTACCAGTATACATATTATCCTAGTGGTTTTAACAATGCAAAGGGTATATTAATCATAAATTTTATACCAAAGATTTGTAAAGAATTTATCACTTTCAGAATTATGCTCAATAATGTTATGTGTATAAAATGAGTCTTTTGATTTTATGCTAAGAAATTATATAGCTGGTCAAAATTAACTTTTAAAAGAGTACAGAGCTCATGTAGAGGTGACTCTTGGAGTCATTTGGGTTTTTTTTCCTGCCAGGCCATGGTTCTATTGCTGCAAAGACAGAGGTCTCCTCGGTGACCCGTTATTGCAATAGGAGGCACAAATGTACACATTTAATCTTTCATAGAGGCGGTAAATTAGAGTTTGAATTGAGAATAAAGCCTCATCAAAAATCCTGGTCCCCTGAAGGTTTGAAACAAAGATAGTCCTTCTAAGCTGCATAAGTCAGAAGATAGTTTATGGCCATAATTATTAAGTGACTGAGGCTAAACTTCATTCAGGGTGTTTTTTTAAAGGAGAAATGGATGTAATCGGAAGGAAGCCTTCTGAAGTTCTATTATAATTTGTCCTGTGTGTGTTAGAAGTGGACGTTTATGCCTCAGGCTGCATGTTGAACTCAGTCGTGGACCTGCAGCCAATGTTAATTCCCGTGGAAATCTCCAGCGGGCCGCTCGGTCAGAGCCGTGAGCGAGGAGATATGGGCTGAGCTGTCATCCACCACTTTCATCCAAAAAAAGATAGTTAATCCAAGAATCCAAGTATGGGGCGTAAAAGCAAAAGGCTTTCATAACGTGGATTAGTTTTTGACATCATAGATAATGCTTGGAAATGTCCAGTTAATGAAACTGAAAAGGAGGGTTTACAGCATCCACGTCTCTGCCACATCGATGCCATTGCTTCTTTGTCACTGCTAAGCGGGTCAGTGTGAAAGGAAAGTGACCTGTTGGTAATACCTAGCCGGAAGAAGGCCGGAAGTGCTTTCATTCTGATGTAATCGTGGTGTTGTACTTCAAGTAGTCATGAAATTAAAAGCTCCTAGTTTTAACTTCCACTCGGGTGAGGGCTGTTTCCTCCTAAGACACGTTTCTCTCAGAGCTTTGTGCACTGCTTAGCGCCGTTAAAGTGCCGCCTCCAAGGATGCTCACAGCTCTCTTCCTAGTAATTAATTTTCCAAGGCATAGAGAAGAATATTGTGTGTGCAGAAGAGATCTACTGTTTGCAACAGTGCTTAGGTGCGGTAGACTCTGCAAACCCGCAAGGAGGGAGGAAGAAAAAAAGCCTACTTCCAGGCCCACCTGACCTTACTTAGACTCTTTTAAAAAAAAAAAAGGGGGGGTGTATGGTTGCCTCCCTAGACTAATTTATATCATATATATATAATCACTGAGACTGCTGTCATCAGCCATGGGAGTATTCCCTGCAGACACTGGAACATTAGTAAATTTTATCTAGAAAATGAGCCTGTAATATGGTCAGAGATTCTACTGAAAGAGATTCACTGGCCCGATAGTTGTGACACTGTCCTCATCTCGAAGTTTGTTGGAATCAGCTAAGACCCTACCTCCCCACAGCAGTTCTGTGATGGTTAAAGTAAGCACAACCCTCAAAGCAGGCATGAAGACAAATATGGAGAAGTTCTCTGGGCTCTGTGCAGTCCCTGAAGACTTTCTGTATCGACCTGTTACGTGGTTTCTGTCTTGACATCTCTGGCTTGCTAACCTCACATAGTGTAGAAGCATCTCATTCGTCCTCTCTGTTTTCCCGAAATTGGCCATATAATTGAATTTTTAAGGTTACTATATATTATTAAACCTGTGAAAGTCATAGTTCTACGTACAGTTAATGGTGCATTTCACTCAACTTTTGAGTAATTTATAAATGCTGGTGTGGCGTGTGCTGCCTTTAAGTAGCAGACATTTTTCTGCATGCGGTAAGGTACACCTCATTGATACACCTCACTGTGGCCTCGTGCATACGGAAGAAAACTTTTCTTTTATCAGTTTAATTAAATAAGTTGCATTCCTTCCTCTTACAGGCTGCCAAAATGGCAAATTATGCCAAATTTCAGAAAATGTGTGATCTTCTGTTTGTCATGTTTGCCATGGTTTTTATCACCACACGGCTGGGCATATTTCCTCTCTGGTGAGTATGGCAATCCTTCTGATAAAGGCAACCCCTCCAAGGAAACTTGGCAGACACCCTTCTCCTGAATTATACTCTGAAGTCCTTCGTAAGATGTTTACAGCCCGTAGAGGGGCCACTGAAGAAGGGAAGTAGTTCTGTTGGGGCAGTGTTTGTTTTGCAAGCGGGAGGATCAGGGCTTAGGCCCTAAAACCCATGGTAACACATGCTTGTAACTCTAGTACTAGGAAGGTGGAAGCAGAGGTATCCCTGGGCTCCCAAGCCAGCCTTATTGATGAGTTCCAGGCCAGAGACCCTGTCTCAAAGGTTGTAGGTGGATTTTTAAAATGTCACTCAAAGTTCTCATATGACTTACACACATATACACATGTGTATACCACTACACACATGAACACACCACACACACGGCACTTCATCTCTACTTTCAGGAGAGTTATATACTTTACTAAATCTTTGATGGGATCAGGTGTGTTTAGGGTGGTGTGATCATGGACATCTTTACTAAGACTCTAGTTAGAGCAAGGTACGGCTTCTGAAGCTTCAGAACCCCTTTCCGACTCTAGTCGAGAATAGGGCGTAAGAAGCTCAGCCATGGAAGGCTGAGTTAAGGAAGGAAATGTGGTCCTGCAGTCACAGGCCAGAAGCAGCATTGCTGGGGAACTCATCAGATGCGCAGGTTCCCGGGCCCTGAGTCAGACACTCTACAGTTGATGCCTGGCCATCAGTGTCATCCCAAGTCTTCATGATGACTGCGCCACATCAAAGTTGGGAAAACACCGTCCTAAATAAGTCTCTTCATAGCTTGTTTTATAGCGAATGAGGAGTGGAAAGTATAATTTAAAAATAACCCTGAAGTTCTCTGTGGCTCCTGCTTTGGTAAGAACTAAGGAAAAGGCACAACAGAGTGTTGGCATTTGACAGACGTTTCTGGAGGTCTCTTGTCAGTCTATTGTTCGAGCTGGGGGTGGGGAGAATGAGCCCTCCGTGTGGTCACCTTACATTGACCATCCATGGTAGATTCTCTTTTGCCCCTTCCGTTTTGGAAGATTAATTTGAGTGGGAAATTTGAGCAATGACAAGTGACTAAAGTAGGAAAATGAAGATGTAATACTTGAAGCTGCAATCGTGTCCTGGAACCTAGCAACCGTAAAGCCGGGGCCTTCAGCGAGTAGGTCTATCATTAGGATTGTAATTAATGAATTGTTGACACAGCTGCCCCTTTCCCATCACGAGGGAGACACATATGTCTTCCCCTTGACGCTTAGGCTAGTCACTTTCAAACAGCGTAATCTTGAATATGATATGTCTGTAATTATTTCAGGGTTGGGGGAATCTTTCAAAGTTATTACCATAACTAGTCATAGGCATTTAAAGAAGAAATTCAAACAACGTTTAAGGAGTGATGTCTCAGAATGATGGAAAGCGTTTTCAGTTCAATAAGAACCTGACTCTTGAAGAAACAGGCGGCACTCGTACAAGGAAGAGTTAAGATAGAGGTACGCCTGCTTTTCTTCCCTCCAGTAAACATGTAAATGCTCTTGGGTTTAAGCACTGGTGAATTGCCTCGAACATAGGTCCACAGAGCCAAGAAATCCCATCTCCCAGTCAGTGAGGGTACTCAGAGGTACGCCTGCTGCAATGACCTACCGGCTGCTTCGAAGAGTCTCTTTAACCTGGTATAAATGCTTTGCAAATACTGGGAGAGGGGGAGTTGTGGGGAAGGTTGCACCTGGAACCCAGACTGTAGCCAAGATTTGGAAAAGCAACTTAGGAAAGCAGTTTTCTATTTCTTATAATAAAAAGAAATAATCTTAAATTCACTATCATGACAGTTGCACAGTTAGCGGAGAGAAATCTTTGCAGATGCATCCAGGAACTCAGATTGGCCCCTTGATGATCGGTGTTGCTCCTGATCAGCTGCCACAGTGCAGTGGGCACCGTTGTGATTTCGCCCTTTCACAAAAAAAAAAAAAAAAAAAGAGCATTAACAACATGTGTTTTAAATACTTGATATTGTGAAATTATTTTGAAGCTCCTTTGGAATTAATGCACGGTTTGGGGAAAGACCTTGCAGGTTATCCGCTGCAGACGCCCCAGTCCCTCTGCTTGTGATAAGTACAATCCGTCTTCCAGGACAGGGATATTGCTTTTGGCTTCCAGGGGGGAAAAAAAACCTGCTTTATTTTATAAGACGACTTCTGGGTCTTTGTAACTTCTAAGCCACGGGCTTCTAAGCTGTATGTGGGATATGTTGTGCGAGCCTTGCTAGCACGTGCTTCCGGGGTGGAGGACCAGTGGTTTCGTCAGAGTCTCTGATACCTGCGACTCTGTCCTTTGCTCAGAGAAGTGCCTGGTGGAAGGACAGAGGAAGTGTGCTGTGCGTTCCGTCTCGAGTAGAAAGTTCTCCAGGTGTGCAGGTTTCGAGTCCATCTTCTACAGAAAGCGTCTATAATCCCTTCAGCTATTCCTAGGTTGTTTTCCTTCATTCTTTCCCTGAATTCCTCCTGATGTGATCTTCCAACCTCATCACAAGAGACCGCATCACATAGTATTTGGTACCCACCCACCTCACGCCCTAGCATGAGCTTTAAGAGTAGCTTCTGCCTTGCCCACTGGTGATCCGATATATATGGGACCTGCCCTACGACTCCCTGTCCTGAGGGCCAATCTCTTTATACATTTTACTTTTCGATGTGGTGAATCTGCTTACTTGGTTACACAGTCTGCATTTGTTTCTCTCAGAGTTCGCCCTGCTCTTTTCAGATACCATGCTATAAACCATACAGTGCCTCCCTGTAGTGACGAGCTGCAAGGCAGGCCTGCTTTTCATCCCACCTGGCTCCCACACTGCTAGCTTAGCCCCGGAAATAACAACACACAAATTGTATTCATTTAAACACTGTCCGGCCCCTTATCTCTAGAGAGTTAGTTACTGACTAACTCTCACATCTTGATTAACCCATTTCTAATCATCTGTGTAGCACCACAAGGTGGGGGCTTACAGGAAAAGATTCAGCATGTCTGACCTGGTGGCTGGCTCCATGGCATCTGCCTCATTGCCCTCTTCCCAGCATTCTGTTCTGTTTACTCCGCCTACCTAATTTTCTGTCCTATCAGAGGGCCAAGGCAGTCTCTTTACTAACCAATGAAAATAACACATAACAGAAGGCCCATCTCCATCACCTCCCCTTCCTCATATTTTTCTACAGTATACAAAAGACTGCATTCAAAGCCCTGAGTGAATCGGGAGGACCCTATTGCTTTAGGCACCTTTCATGCAGGTAGAGGCTAGACTGTAGAGGACAGGAGAGGGGGAATGGCGGTGCCCTCCTCTAATCCCAGTCTCTAGAGCGACTAAGCTAGGACTACCCATGTTCAGAGCCAACCTAAGCAACACCAACACTTGCTTTCAGAAGAGAAGAGACACAGAAGAGGAATAGGAATATAGCTTAGTGGTAGAGTGCTGGCAGAGGCCCAAAAGTCAATATGTGAGGCCCAAAGGTCAATACCCAACCCTTAAATGAGAGGGATAAAGGGAAACTCCAAAGCTAGAATTTTAGAGCCTTTTCCAATCTCATATGTCTGCTGTTTGCCTTTTTTATTGTAATAATGTAAGCTTTTAACTCAAAAGTCCTGCCATTTTTATTTACAGGGTATTTATTAGATTTATAGGGTATTTATTAGGCAAACAAGATGAGCAATATTCTGAACATTCAATCAGATAGGGGGTTTTCCTCGGGACACTCCCAGTTAAATTCCTACAGGTGTCCTGTCAGTATTCTGCTTTATAGTTTCAAAGAGGACTATGTTATGAGATATTTTTTGAGCATTTAGGGAATGTTATTAATATAAACATTTCATATTTAAATCATCTTACTGCATATACTAAAGAGCTCTACTGGCTAAATAATATATCACACAGGATATATCAGAACAATAATGCCCAGTTTTCTTTTTAAAGAGGATAAGAGACAGTTTGTTGTGAAGCCAAATATGAGTTGACATTGCTCGGGAACAGACCTGGGTTCTCTCTGAACCATGTTCTAACATGCTAACCATTTTATGAAAGTCTTTATGATAACAGAACAAGGAAAATTATAACATTGAAGCGCTTTGAAAATACATTAGTGGAAATATCTGGCAAGTAGGTTACAATAGGCATCTGTGTTCCAGACATCAGATGACTACCTGGGAGCATCTGTGCCACGTGGTATTTAAAGAGTTTCAGATACTGAAGGACCTCGCTGGGCAAATAATATAGTGCCCCAGGGTATGTCATACTGCTAGAATTTCTCTGCTCCTCGCACATCTGTCCATCATCCTTCCAAAGCATCGTGAAGACTTCATAGGAGTCTTATATTTTCTAGTAGCCAGATTCAGAAGTGGTATCCATTAAAATAGCTTATTCATTTAACTCAGCATATTCAAAATAAATTATTCTGTACATCAATATGCTAAATTGGTCAACCTTGAAAATACCGAGATATTTGTATTATTTTACCCGATGTCTTTGGCAGCTAATGGTTCACCTTGCCATTTAAGTTTGGTTGCATTCAGAGTGCATGCTTGCAACGTGCCCCTAGCATGCTGGGTAGGGCAGTTCCCGAAAAGATTTCTACCACAGGTTTTGGTGGTGACTGCATGCTACCCTTTTCCTGATGTCTGGCATCTCTGTTGATGTTTTTAAGCCCACTGGTGGCAACTAGTACCATTGTTATTAGAGACATATAAACCAGAGTGTGGGCTCCAATCTTGTGTCTCCTGCTTAAGTTACATCATTGTGTTGAGCATTTATGTCTCAAATAAGATGAAGGAAGATCCCTATCTCATCGTGTTGCAGCACTAAATGAGTTCATTATGTCTACAGAGCCAGGAGAAATGTCAGATTCGTAGCCATTGCTTTAAAGTCTTGGATTTTTTTTTTGAGTGACAGGATTTATTTGATATGAAAAGAAAAACCTTTTAGAAGTAAGTAAAAAGCTCCATCACTCACTACAAAT